TAGTTACTTCCGAATCCACCCCGACCATCCTTATATACCCTTATCTATTAGTATTCTAGAAGGCTATCGTTATCGTTATCGGAAGCCTTAGATAGTCTTTTCTTTAATCGTTTACGCTATAGTTGCTTACTTCGATTATTTGTTATCCTATCCTCTAAATCATTATCGTAGCTCTCTATCCCTTATCTATCCTTAATACTAGGCTCTTAATCCTCCTCTTCGTTATCACTAATCGGCTTAAGAGTTTTAAGCTAGGGTATTAGTTTCCGAGCTTAATATAACAATATAGCTTCTCTAGCGGAAGGATACTCCTTAATAACCTCTATCTCCTTCTACTTAACCTTAAAGTTAGTAGCGAACTAATAAAGTATTAGTCCTCGGATCGTACTTAGTTTTAATTAACTACGACGATAGTAGTAGATATCGCGAGCGTAATTAATAATCGCTTAACGCCTACACTACTAGCTAGGATCGAGAGAATATCCCGTGCTAGCCTTATAAGAATAGGAAACTCGTGCTTATACTCTTTCTAGAATACTCGGGGCTTCTATCTCTTAGTCCCTGCGGGTAAGATACCTCGTAATCTTATTATCTTTAGACTTTAAGAGTTATATCCTATAGGTAGAAGTATAAGCGGTATCAAGATTATAATAATTATTATCTAAGGCCTCTCTAGTGGTATCTTATAAGACTATAGTATCTAAATTATAGTAAAGCGTCTCTTTATATTAATAAAAATCTCGCTTAAGGACTCTATAGTAGTGTTTAATGCAATCAATTTTACGTTACTAGTCTATTAATATAAAATATCGAAGTTTCTTTAATAGGTAAAGGATCGTTATAAGTGTATAGATATTACCGTATAATTTATAATTAGTAGTAGTGTAATATTTTAAGAGCTTCCCTTTTATAGTCTAGAGAGCCTAGAGTATACGCTTCTTCTAGATAACTCCTTTATTCTTTAACTCTTAGCTTTATTAAGATAAGAGAAAAGCTTACGATAAATGTTATAGATATTATATATATTAATATCCCTAATCTTTAATAATATAGTAGTGAAGTTAAAGAAAGGCTTAGTAAGAAGAAGAAGATATTTAACGTATTTCACTAGTGAGTTGGCCACACCCCCGAGTTGGCCACCCCACCCATACTTCCTAATTTTAAATGCATTTTTCTCAACCAAAACGCCATTAAATTCAATAAGCTAAAAACTAGTTCTATTAGGACATGTATCAATTTATGACCCTGAATTCCACATATACTGCACTTCGGTAAGGCTCTCTTACGTGGCTGTGAAGGTGTCGGAGCCGATTCTGCCTCACGGGGTATTTGTGCTAAAACTGCTTGCTCTAGCTGCGCTGCTAAGGTAGAGGCCTCTAAAACTGTAAGGCCTTCTTCGGAAGCTATTTGCTTTTTAGACCGGGTCCTTTTTCGCTTCTTTGTCTTATTTGCGGCGCGTAATTAGCTTACTTCTTTCTCGAGTAAAGCTATTAAATATATCGTAGTTTGACAAGCCTTTAAAATCTGATTTATCGCGGAGTTAAGCGGGCTCGGTAGGCTTTGTGAGCGCGTTTTTAGCAAATGTAACGGCGTGGCTGATCCACGGGTTCAATTGTGCGTACTGAGTAGTATATGTATCGGTCCCAGGCATGTCAGCGGTCTTTTTGGCCTAGTTGGTGAGACGTGTATTGACCTGGGTGCACTCTATTACAAATATATCTCGAACTTTTAATAGCGATAATTAGCTATTACTAATCACTGGTACGGATAATAGAGGATAATTAAGGAGATCCGTGGATATCTATACGGATATCCGTAATATATCCTCGATTATCCTTAGGTATTAATTTAGAGAAAATAAAATCACCAAGTCCGTAAAATCAGAGCTTCCGACCTCCCGATTTTTTCATACTATTATAATAAAATATACTTTAAAAACTTAATATACTTTAAAGATAGCTTAGACCAATTTTTTATATCGGGCTTATTAGATTTAACCGAGAAATAGCGATTTTAATCGTATATACTTAATTTAGCTAAAATATCCTATACTACTATCTACTATATAGAGTAAATATATAGCCGTGTCACGGGACGACCCCCCACCCTCGCGGGTAGGGGGTGTCAGCCAAATTGCAATTCTCAGCCATATTGCAAATTTCCTACTTTTTCAACCTTACGCGTATTCCTAGCCACCAAAAATGCCTAAAAAAGCTCGTGATGAGGAGGCTATTCTAGCCAAGGCATTAGACGACTATAATATGCAAAAATTCTCTTCCCTACGTAAGGCTGCGGACCATTATCGCGTGTCGTACTCGAAGCTCCGCGGTCGCAAAATCGGACGGACATCTCTCTCCGATCGCCCTACCACCAATAATGCATTGAATTCGAATCAGGAAAATTCATTAATTAGCTGGATCGAATTGCTGAATTCTTGCTATACACCTCTAACTACAAAAGACATTGAAACTGCCGCAAATCGCCTATTGAAAATAGCAGGTTCGGAGAGAGTTGTCGGCTTAGTGTATAGCTATCGGCTTATACGTCGTCTACCTCCACACATCAAGCTTATTACCTAAAAACTAAAGGAATCTTTACGAATTCAAGCTAAGGACCCTAGGGTTATTAGCCATTGGTACGATAGGCTTGAGTGTCTCTACCGTGAGCATAGGTTTGAACCTTATGAGATCTACAATTGGGATGAAACCGGCTTCCAAAATGGCGAGGGACTTAACTAATATGTCGTCTCTACGCGTCGAACTGCTAGCATTGCTACTAGAGATCGAGGTGAAACTATTACTAGCATTGAATATATTGCCGCTGATAGCTAGGTGATGTTTCCATGGTTTCTAGTCAAAGGCAGCGTCCACATGGAAGACTGGTATAGTGATATATCAACCTCTTCTTCGGCGTATAAAATCATCTATTTAACGTCTAGTGGCTAGACGGATAGTGAAACTGCCTACCGATGGCTCTGCTCGTTTCATAAAGCTACAAAAAACCGCGTACGACGCGGGCGACCGAGGCTTTTGCTAATGGATAATCATACGTCTTATATAACTATCGAATTCCTCGATTTTTGTAAGGAAAACTTGATCATTCCTTAGTATTTTATGCCTCACACGACTCATATATGTTAGCCCCTTGATGCTGAGGCTTTTTTAAGCCTAAAGCATGAGTTTAAAATGGCGAATACTGAAGTTATGGCGTGGGGTGGAAGCAATGAAAAACGCGACTTTTTCCGCAATATTGACGCCGTCCGACGCCACGCCTTAAAGTCCAAAACTATCCAAACCTCGTTCAAATCTACTAGTATCTAGCCACTAGATCCGACACAAGTTTTAGATAATTTAGGATAGTATTCGGACAAAGAGGTGCTACGCATGTACGACGAGCCGTCACCCGCCCGCGAATTCCCAAGTTCAGCAACCAATTCCCCGCCTAATTCTTATCCGCGCATTAAAAAATTAGAGAATACGGTTTTCCCACTGCTTGATAGCCCGACTCCTGATTTACAAAAAATTCGGAAGCATCTACGGCGCGCAATTGATGCCGGAAAATCGTCTCTATACAATGCGGAACTTGCTAAGATAAGCCTTGCGCGCGCCCTTAGCCATAAAACGCCTAGGAAAAAACCTACGAAAAGCAAGCTATAGGTAAAGGGTGCTACAAAGAGTCCCCTTTCATCGATTTCAGGCAATAGGCTAGTACAGCGTAGGTCTGAGAAAGAAGATAAGTCGAAGCTTCGAGCTTGGCGGAAAGACGCTGAGAAAATGGCAGCTGAATTAGCGGCGAAGGAATTAGAGGAAACGCTTGAAAGTGAGGATGATGATACATTATTGGCTAATGAGGCTATTGATAGGCTTTATTTCATAGATGCTGGACCTTATACGTCTAAAAAATGAGCTAGAAGTTGAAGAAATTGAAAATTTGCAATATGGCTGAGAATTGCAATTTGGCTGAGGGACACCCCCTACCCGAAGGGTGGGGGGTCGTCCCGTGACACGGCTGTATCTTTTGTTCTAAAAAATAAATTGGTAAGCTATATAAGAGGCATATGACTACCCCTAGGTAGATGATTTATGCTAGTGCGGATATGGTATGTGACCCAATATCCAATAGAGAGGATATGCCGCAGTCTAATCCTTTCATATATTTTCTAGATAATATACATAAATTAGCTTAGTCTTTATATAGTTGTATTAAATATAATTAAAATTACCTATATATAAGAAATAAAAGCAAGCTTAGAACATGCTATATTTAAAAGCTTAGCGGTTTTGGTCCGTTTACACATAGATTGCGTCCAATTCGATACCTAAGAACCCATTAGATCTAAGGTCTAGACCCAAAACCCAACTTTGGGTTAGGTTAGTGGTGTGGGAAGATTGTATATTAGCTACTCCCGCTGCTCCCGTCCTAAGGGGCAACATTCAGTCTCTTGTTACAATACCACAAATTATCCCTACGCTATTCAGACCTATTAGATTCCATCGCCCTTATCTTATACACGTCATTTAGAGACATATTGCGGGGTCTTACAGGGGTCCTAACAAATAGCGGCTTTAACGTGTCCTTATAAGTGCCATAGTTCCTTATAACACTCCCAGATAGAGCTAGTTCAGTTGGGTTAGTCTGCGATCCTTATATCAGGCGTCCTGACAGTAATTCACGTAATCTTTAATTGCGTTCCATTTATATTAAGGGGTTTTCGCTTTTGGCTGATTTTTGCACTTCAACATACTCTTCGCAAACCAGTTTCTGTTTCTACAGGTACATGATTATGTGTTCTTGCTTCATCTATAAGTACTTACATAGCCCCCACGACACTAGTGAGGCAATCCCGTGACTTGAATGAAACTGGCGAATAAGGTTGTGGATCAACCCCCGCATTATCCCCAGGCTATGAGGTCACGAGTCACGCCACCTCCATTATATCTACTCATCTTCCTCAATCATTTCGCTTCCACCTTTCACCATCTGAATCAAAAGTAAGTCGGATGCTCGTGCATTTGCTTATTGCCACATACTTATATGTAACGACGCAAGTGACTCGTTCGCACAAGCTGAATGACCGCGAGCACCCAGCTGACGGCATGCTGGGTACCCGCGATAATCTACCACGCTATTTCGCAAAGTCTGGCCCTACTGATGCTGATCCTCGTAAGACAAAGAAGGACGGTGGTGGCAAGGGTAACTGGTAAGCATTGAGCACCTAAGTGGATATTTATCTCTCTAAAGCCTTTCGTCTAGGGGTCGCTCTGGCGATGAGATGCAGGATTACGATTACAAGTTCACCAACACCCGGCGTCGTTCGAACAGCAGTACCCAGGGTCTGGCTGACTTTAGCACCAAATTTGAGGCTTTTGACCCAGAACCTGTCTTTGAAGAAGGCCTCCACGGAGCATCCGACGTGTCGGCAGAAACCGAGAGCACTGTCACCAAAGTCGAGAGTACTAGCAGCAACACCGACAGTGAGATTGATCACAATGGAGTGAATCAATAGGAAACCATGACTATTCCCATCTGACTGAATTCAATGGGCAGACGGTTTGTATGTGAACATAGAACTCACTATGTAGGCAGAGGGCTATGGAACAGAACAGATATTGTACCAGAAATTCCAAATCAACAGAAACATTTAAAATTGTTTGTTTTAAGGTCCGAACAGTCAGAATCGCTCAACCAAACGGATCAAGACCGCAACTACAAGAGGGAAAAAGTAAACTACGTAAAGAAGTCGGGAATTCCCTCCAAGATTTCACGCATATTATGACACGTCGGTTGTCTACCGGGTTAACCATTCAATTCTGCCTATGCTCAAGACCCTGAGTCCACAACACACGGCTCTAAACCTCAGCTCCAGCACTACCATCGACCAAAGGTCCATTAGGAGCTAACCCCTGGGCTTCTGCCGTTTCAAGAAGGTTTTGGAACCAGAAGTCAAGCTTTCCGACCTCAATGTACTGGCGTAAGATGTCGTTTTCAGTATGAAGGTCGAGCGCCAATCTTGATTTTTGCTCTGGGCGGAACCGTGAAACAAGAATATCAGAATCCGTATCAGCCATCAGGGCTTCTGTAGGAGAAAGAGCCGCATAGATGGAAGGGCAACTTGATTTTTTGGGATCTGGGAACAATGTATTAGTTAGGTTCACATAACCCACAAAGGCTGCGAGCACTCACCCTCCTCCAAGCATGCGTTCAAAGTTCGATAGAGGGAGGTGTCGCTGATGGAGCTAACGGAATCGCCATTGGACCCTTCAGCAGCCTTGCCCCGAGCCACCCAGTCATCCTTGATCATGCACCGTCGCCATATCAACCTTTGCAACGCCGCGAGGTACGAAGAGTCTCGCTGGCCATAGCGACCATGATCAAGAACCCGTAGAGCTAGATGGAACTCGCTCTTTACAATTTCATCATCGCCGTCCTCTGCATGCTGCACAGGGCCGATCAACGTCAAAAGGTCAACCAGATCGTCGACGGATACAACCTGTCTGTTAACAAGAGTGGAGAGAGTATCACTCAAAATTTCACGGAGCGATGGCCGGTCTTCGAGTAGGTGACCCCCATAGCACTCGAGCGCCAGTTCAGCCTCAGCCTTTCTGTCAATTGCGCCCTCCCAAACTGGTCGAAGGTGCTCATAGAGAGTATCCTGGATTCCGTCGACCTCAATGTAATCCTCAAGTCGTTTAACATCACCTTGCAAGGCCAAAGAAGGCTGAACCTGTGGATGCATACGCTCTTCTGTTGCTAGCTTGCTTAGCTTGGCTAGCGAGATTTCAACACGGTGGCTCCACAAGTCCTTTTCACTGTTAAGCGCCAGATTCTCCAGTGAGGCTGCGGCAGAGTCGTAGTCATCCTCGCCCGTCACATCATTAATCCAGCTCAAACGAGAATATGCGGGGTTTTTCCTGAGGAACCGAGTCACGGCAGGTTGGTATTTCCGCATTGCAAGCAGCGTTCCCGGGTAACCAAACTTGATTCTGTGGAAGAAGTATGCATCCGCCCAAATGTCTCCAAACTTGTCGAAGTAAGTGGAAATCAATTGCGCAGGATCAAGCTGATCTGCACTTGTCGGCGCACCTTCTGAAGGCCCTTGAACTGGTCCATTTTTCTTTTGATCTTGAAGCTCGACGATCAACTCGACCAGGGCATCCATATCTCGGAAGCTTTCTGCTAACCTAAGAGCGTCCTGAAGATGACCGACACCGGCCAACTTAAAGAGGTGCCACTTGCGGTTTTCGACATGCATATGTTCGAGCAAAGAGCTCTCGTCGACAAGCTTTGGATCTCCCTGAGCAGAAAGCCATCGAGTTCGCTCCTGGTGCATTTGACCAAGAACACGGAGATGCCGAGCGCTGTTTGCTGCTGTTTGGTTTAGGACCTGGGCATCAGGGAAATCTGCACCCGACAAGTTTGCGCTGTTCCACGAACGTCGACTATCGAGTTCCAAATCGAGCAGCTTTCCTGCTTCGGTATAACCCACCCCTCTCGATGTCCAGAACTCGGGTAGAGTCTCATATCCATCGGACAGAACACCATCCTCCACAAAGTCTTCGCTTAAGCCATAAAGCGCAAGGTGCTCTTCGCGATACCGGAAAGCAGTTTCCATGACTGCCAGGAATAGCTCACTGGCCTCGAGGATCTGTTGTGAGAGATTTCGTGCACGATCAGGAGATTCGAGTACATCATCGCAAGATTCAGCTCGACCGAGTTTGACAGCGTTTTTGATCCATGGAATAATATGCTCCATGCGGTAGGAATCCCTCAGGAACCATTGACGCACCGAGTCAGCCTCTCCGTATTGCGGGTCAATCTGGGTCTTGAAATTGTTGCTCATTGATTCAATGACGTGGCCAAGGAAAGACTCCTCACTCTTGCATTTATAGGCCTCCTGGACCTTCCACATGGCCCTTTGTGCTGCAATTTTCTCAGCGGCCCACAGCAGCTCCCATTTTGCTGCACGACTCAATGGGTTTCCTCTGCGTAGAAGTAAGGACGCAAGGTCGTCCAATGCCTTTGCCCTCAGTCGAAGATGCTGCTCGAGTGAGATTGTAGTGTTTGGAATGAAGCGGGATTCAGAATGAAGTAGTTCCCTGCATATTTCTAAGGATGCTTGTTCAATTTCTGATGCAGGGAAATCCAAGCCACCATCGCTGGAAAGATCCAACGGGTTCTTTGCCATGGTCCCGAAGAAAACAGCCTGCTCAAGTTTGTGCTTCGCAGTAACTTGAGGCAGCTCGTCGACATCGTCTTCGGCTTCGGGGCGAGGTAGTACCGTGACACGAATCACTCCGAAGTTCCGAAGCATAAGCACAAATGCCGCACAAGGCATATCCTGCGATTGATCCTCTGATGTGAACCCCAGTATTTCATGCTCTTTGCCAGATCGCAAGTGGATGGTGTCTTGGAAAGGCAGGGGTAACTTATTTGAATCAAGAAGTAGTTGCGAGGTCGGTGTTTCTTCAACGCTCGTCAGTGACAGGATAACAAGAGACTGACCAACGAGAATAAAAGCGGTTCCCTCTGGTTTCGGAACAAAAATCCTGGGCTTTGGGTCATCGAGCATAGCTGGAACATGATGTAGATCTACAGGGTGCGTAGAAACCACGCGGGACTCACTGCCGGACAAGTGAACTTGAACGACAAACAGTGCCTTATTTTCGGACCATTGGGGCGAGCCAACAACCAGAAACAAGCGCCAGGATTCATCCGAAGGTTGAGCAGGGTCATCGGAAGGTTGGAGGACAGGGAACGCAAAGTCCATGATCTTTAGGTCTGGGTCGTTTGTCGTTTTCTTTGGATTCTGAGGAAGAGCTGCCAAAATGTCGTCTTTGGCATCATATCGTTTTTTAAGCGCATTTCCGTGATTCCAATGTGTATCCCATATCTCAATCAGCCCAGAAGAAGTCGCAATTATCACATCTCGCTGACCGCGTTGATGGGAACCGCCAGCTCGAACGGCGGTGACTTCTTTCCTCCAGTATCCGCCTCCCAGAACATTCTTAATGCCACCAAAAAGACCACCAACGTTGGCACCGGCGGTACTTTTCAGGAAATTGACGAGCACTGATGGTTTTCCTTGGGGGTCCCTCAAGGTAATGTGTGCTACTCGTCCTGTGGAGAATGTGGCAATAATCCCCGAAGGCTCTCCATTCAGGATTTCCGTGGCATACTCGCCAGACAGCAGGCCAGGTGTTGATCCTTGGATACCATTTTGTTTCTGTCGAGATAAGCCCAGTGAGGCTGCACTAGATACAGTTTCCCAGAAAATGATTTTCCCGGTAGAAGGGATGAGCACTAGTAAACCTGGGTGCTCTCCTGTAGCTGTGGATAGTAGAACGCCGAGTGGGACTGCGCCCTTTGGATCTCTGCATGACTCGGGAATGGATACTGTGAACGTGTCTGACGGGGATGGAGACGAGGCGGACACAGAGTAGGGCCATACGATGGCATGCGAGTGAGTTAGAGCTAGCGCGTGGTCATGGCCGGCCCCGAAAAAGCACCTGAGCGGTTCTCCTTTCAAAGGGTTAGTGATCTCCACCATGTAAGATGAAAATAAAAGCAAAAATATCAAGAAAAAAGTAGCAGCAGACACATGACATACCTGACTGTAAGCCGCGAATCTGGTCTGGCAAGGCTGGCAGCTGATCCACATTGTAGAAATCGGTACTGGACTTTTGATATCGACAGCATTAGCAATCTTGGATTGCAACGCGCAAAACTACATTACTCACTAGGGCGATCGTCCCCTCATTGTTGTGTCCAAGACCATCACCTTGTTTCGCAGTACGAGTCGGTAGATGAAGACCGGTATTCGTTGGATCCGCAGGGGCATTGTCATCATTGGAAGGAGTGGGTGCAGCCAATTTGGCGATCTCACGCCCAAGGTTTGTGTCGGAATGGGATTCATCCGGGCGTCGCAAGACTGAGCGCTGTCTCTTGGCTTTCGGTGGCTTGACAGAGTCGTCTGAGCTTGTTCTCGGGCGCCGGCGAGTATTGCGGCCACCGGCTTTAGGAACAAACATTTTCGAATTGCGCCTAACCTGGAGTCGCGAATACGCGCTGGCAATAGCAAAGAGGAAAGAAAAAAGCGGTGCCTTCGGAGAGTCTTGAAAACGTGCCCTGGAAAATTGACACAGGGCCAGGGAAAGTACGAAAAAGCAAGAAGATATTCCCCAGCAAGAAAGGTGAGGAGCAAGGTGATCGCACCGATCAACAACAAATGGCAGATGTCTGAAGGCGGTGAGGAGCCTGTAGTAGCTCACTGTCAACCTTGTCCTACTTTCCTCTCCTACTACCACTGTAGTACACTGTATGCATCATTGGAAGTCAATACGGAGCTTTTAATGCCCTGCTTTACTGCAGCTTAACACAAAATCAGGCCCTATATCATAGTGGAGTTTTGTACAATCTTTACCATGCCTCCACTATTCTTGCCTGGATAGGTTAGACCTCATTATTTACATCAGGTAGACCTAAATCAATGGTTTTTCCATGATGTACCATGAATCTGTATCAATGTCCCGAGGTCGCTGCATGTATGTACTTTACTCCGTATGTGGAGATACTTTGCATCCGATTACCCCGAGATGCTCACGTGAATCCCCATCTACCCCACACGGAGTTGCTCCCTGAAATACCCTAACTGTCAGGGCAATCCCCATTTTGTCTTATGGGATAGGCTGCCTCTGACATCAAATACTAATAAAACCAGCCACCATGCTCACATGCTGCGTTGATACAGTCAAGATCAAGGCCCCAAGGGTTGCCGCATATCCGCAAGTCTAAGATGCTCTCTCAGTCGCCGCATATCACGGGCCATCTCCGAATGAGCCGCATGCGCGTTGGATTGCAGGCTACTGCCGCAAGATCCCGGCCGACATCTACTACTTCCCTGTTCCCCAGACGAGACATGCACACAGCTCTATTCTTCCCGGGTTTGTCTTACTGCCCCTTCTACTTCAAACCCGAGAAGACACCGCTAACACACAGTAGGACATGGAGTTCAACGGGTTGGCATGGCGAATACCTGGATTGAAAGCTTCCCTCACACGGCCGCTCGGATCCTGGACGAGATGGACAGCACCCTTGGATTCAAAATGTCCAGCATCATATCCGATGGGCCCAACTCCAAGCTGAACAAAACTGAAAATTCGCAACCCGCAGTCATGGCAGTCTCAATTTTGATACTTCGCATTCTTGAGGACGAGTTCGGATTCAACGCCAAATCTCGGGTGGACGTCACGCTTGGACACAGCCTAGGAGAATTCTCTGCACTGGTTGCCGGTGGGTATTTTGAATTCAGCGATGCCCTCAAATTAGTCCGACGCCGAGCGGAAATAATGGCCCAGTGTACGCGAAACCTGGCCGAGAAATCCGGGGAAACTTATGGAATGGTTGCTCTTCTCTGTGAACCTGAACATTTGGACAGTTTACTTCGAACGGTTCAGGAATTCCTAGGACTTGAGCCCCCAGGCATCGAAAGCGACCCATACCACCCGGTCCCAGCAATACCGCAGGTGGTGGTCGCGAATATCAACTCAAAAAACCAAATTGTCTTGAGCGGCAGCCTTGACCGGATCAAAACTCTCCTAGTCCAACTGCGTCAATTTGGAGGTCATGATCCACGGGCTGTCAGATTGAAAAGTGACACCCCCTTTCATAGCCCTTCCATGGCGCCTGCTGCCGAGTACATGAGAAATGCGCTTGAGCAAATCAACATCACCTTCCCTGCTTCAGTGCCATGCATATCAAATGTTTCCGCCTTGCCCTTTCATTCTAAGGATGATCTTAAGAATCTCCTTTCCAGGCAATGCATTGATACAGTGAGATGGTGGGACAGCATACGCTATCTTCACCAGGAGCGAGGTGTGAGGCGTTGGATCGGAATCGGACCAGGAAAGGTTGGCAGGAACTTAGTTGGCAAAGAGGTCGGAAGAGTTGACGCCAAAGGTGGAGGAGTGTGGGCTGTCTGCGATCCCCGTGAAATGTCAGACATCATGGTTTCCTTGGAGCAGACTGAAATTGAACCTACGAGCCACTAACCACTAACATGATGACCGATACCGGCCTGTTTCCTTATGTTTCAGTAATTTATAACCGTCGAGCAATGAACATCTAAGGTTGATAGAACTTCAAAGATTAGACAAGTGGTGTGAAGTCTGTGGAATTATTTCTGATATGAATGCAAATAGGGCACTCGGTGGAGTATCTCGTTAGCTGCCCTCTCCTGTGCTTCAAAATCCCTGGAAGCTTTTGCGCGGCCACAACACCATGAAAACTTGGGTATCATTATTATCCTGTCCTTCCCTTATACGGCGTTCCCTGGTGCCCATGAATCACCAATACGCTTCACATCCGCAATGAACCTTCGATTAGAGATTTGCTGGCAAGCCGAGAGAGAAGCAGCTTTATTGCCAGGAATCGGTACGTGATCGTCGGGGGAGTAGAATGGATTTTGCAAGAGCTGAATATACGCACTTTGCAAAGCTCGGAACGCCTGCATTCAATTGTCAGAGAAAGCGTGATCTACCGCAAACTTCTAATAGAAAATCTCAAAGCTCACCGGTTTCATATCAGAATCTCTCAAGCCACTTATAGCAGGGCCTGCCGTTTTCCCAGCACTAGCAGCCTCTTCCCGGCCGAACACATCCACAATGATCAAAAGCTTGACTCCGGTGGTTGTCAACCAACCATATGCCGCAAGTCGTTCATCAATCGCATGCAACAGCCCAAGATCCTGATCAATGGATGTTTGCTTGCACCGGATGTCAAAGACGTCAAGGCACGAGTTCAGTAAGAAAGAGAACTCGATGGTGGAATCAGAATAGGGAGGAAACAAGGAAATGTGAAGAGGATTATCCTACAGTATACCATGTCAGCTTATCAGATGAGCGCCTTGTTACCAAGACAATACCCACTGCCTTTCCAATCACACCAATGCAGGCAATCTTGGGACCTGACATTTTGGAGACGAGCTCTGGTGTTCTTTATCTTAATCTGGTGACTATTCCAACGTTGGAGATTTATCTCTCAATACCGTGCGTCATGAGCAGGATAAGCAGAACTGAGGTTGTCAACCATGCGGAGTAAAGAGGGAAGACGCGCTCAGGTATCAAGGCAAAGAGGGCAGAAGAACCAATGATGATACAGGCAATTGGATTTACGAGCATCTCACCGCCTTTACAATACCCTATGTAATGACTGAGAAATACCACTCTTGGACCAATGATCTCCGACATAATAGCTTACATCATCATCATCAAACCAGTACTATACCATCACTCTTCCCACTGGAACCCCAAAAGTCCTCCTTGTCTGCAGCACCCGGAGCCCGCCACATCTACCCTCTTTGTTCATAGTATCGCCACTGACTAGGGTCCAATTGCCTTCTCTCTTCCAACTCCCACACCTTTTCTTCGGTTCTTGTTCGAAAAACGAATTTCAAGATGTTGCCCATGGCGAAGCCCGCCATCTCTGGCGCTCTGTGCGGTAGGCGTCTCTTCTTCTCCTTGCAAATGCCAACCCCACTGACTGAAAACAGCAGCGCGACCTCGCCTTGCACTTTCTCTTCCCCGTGTTCAGCCCTTGGCGGCCCTTTCGACCTCCTCGGTTAAATCAGCGACAGCCCTCGAGCGCCGAACATCAACAGGCCAGCAATTGACCGCGTCAGGCAAGGCCCGGAAGGAAGTGCCTTTGGCAAGTCAGGAGAAGAAGGAGGGTGCTATGCAATATGTCTTGTTCGTTTCCTCGCGGGTTTATGCTTTCCTCGATGGCTTCCGCTGACCTCCACACTAGGACTACCCTTGATCAGGTTGCAAACTGGGCCCGTCAAAGCTCTTTGTGGCCTATGACCTTCGGTCTTGCATGCTGCGCTGTGGAGATGATGCACTTGTCTACTCCCCGTTATGATCAAGATCGGTTGGGAATTATTTTCCGTGCCTCCCCACGTCAGTCGGATGTGATGATTGTCGCCGGTACACTGACAAACAAGATGGCCCCCGCTCTCCGTCAGGTCTATGACCAGATGCCTGATCCCCGATGGGTCATCAGCATGGGAAGTTGTGCCAATGGTGGTGGCTATTATCACTACAGTTATTCCGTCGTACGCGGCTGTGATCGGGTTGTGCCGGTCGATGTCTACGTCCCTGGATGTGAGTACCATGCTTCGTCAACTTAAATGTACAATTTGACTAACAGAAATACAAGGCCCACCAACTTCCGAGGCATTGATGTATGGTATCTTCCAGCTACAGAAGAAGATGAGGCATACCAGGATCACTCGCATGTGGTACCGCCGTTAATTTTTGGATAATGGTGCGGGGGATCGTTTCTTTGCCTCTTCAAACATAGTGCATGGTGAAATTCTAAGTGACCCAACCCAACCCAACCGCCGTGGAGTCTCTCTGTGTCTTTTTACTTTTGTATATCAATATCAGGCTTCAGGATTTGATACATTGCTTTCGTTCTGCTTTTTCATTTGGACTATTCTCTCGGTCAATCATCAAATCATTGATTCAAAATTTCAAGACTTTTATACATTGGATGAGCAAGACCACTTGCGACTTGTAAGTCCTTCGAAGGGTTTAAGGTTGACTTGCTTAAGCCAACATGTATATTGAAGTGATTCGGCATCGAGCTACTCATTCGGAATCCTTTTGGACAAAGTGTACATGTGTAAACCAGGTCCATAACGTCTTTTTGAGCACATATCCCAGTCTAGCCATTGACCATGACTCCTCCATTGGGATGCAGACACTGTCCAGAAATATAGCTGCTATCTTGACTTGCGAGGAAAACAAAGCACGTTGCAACCTCGCTGGGCTGACCCGGCCGGCCCATTGGCACTGCATGGAACTGTTCCATGGCAGAAGTTTGCATCGTCGATGGAATAAGAGGTGTCCAAACTGCCTCACAAGTCAGCGGTTGCTTCCTGGGTAGTAGATAGTTTTGGAAAACCTACTCGGACCTGGGCAAACACAATTAACTCGAATGCCCTTCATCACCTGCTGATTTGACAATGCGCGCGTAAAGGCGACAATCGCTCCTTTGGTGGACGTGTAATCCAAAAGATCGCCTCGGCCAATGTAAGGATTGACGGATGCACAATTGATGATGGTGGACCCTTTCTTCATGTGAGGAAGCGAGTATTTGGACAAGTAAAAGAAAGAATGGATGTTGGTGTCAAATGTTCGCTCCCATTGGTCCCTACCAGACATTAGCTTGTGTATAGAAAATCAGGAAGAGAACATACTCGTCCAACTCACTGATGTCACTCAGCATATGCTGGAATGCTGCGTTGTTCACGAGGATATCAATAGCACCCATCTTCTGCAGAGCCACATCAATGATCTTTTGGCAATTCTCCTTCTTGCGGAGGTCAATGGCCAAGCAATGGCACTGCTGGCCATGCTCTTCTACCCTCCTTTTCGTCTCCTGTGCATCCTTTTCCTCTTCGGGCAAGTACACGATCACACTCGATGCACCTTCCATAGCGAAAAGGATTGCGACAGCTCTGCCAATTCCAGAGTCACCTCCGGTGATGATCGCTTTCTTGTCTTGAAGCTTTCCGGCAGCTTTATAGACCTGATAGCCGCCATCCCCGGTTGGGATATGAGCCGATACGGGTTTGGGATCTTCCATATTAGCCTGAAGACCTGGCTTTGTCATGTGCTGAATAGGGATTTTGTGGCCTATGTGTTTTATTGTCATTAGATTCAAATCGGCAGTGGCTTCCAGTACTGCTCACCCGGTTCAAATTGGGATTTAGATCCACTGGCCGGTCTTTCTGTGTGCTGGGAAACAGGCATCTTGGTGATTAGAGAATAGAAATAGATAGTTTGGTTTATTGTTCTTTAATAGATAGGATTCTGTGCAAAGGGACCATTTTATAAAGAATTCTATTCCACAGAGACCCAGGACTTCGTCACTATGACAGTCGATTTATGGTACCAAGATATCAGAGGAGTTGGTGGTGGCATATGATCAACTAGGAATTTTGGGCCGCCAGAGATATCTCTGGTTGGTATGTTTCTCTGTGGCTTACTGTTGACCACATTGGGTTATCCGATGCTTTAGTGTTGCCATCGGTGAGTGTCCACTTTGGGCACCAGCTGCATCTCCCAATCAGACGTGCTTGACTGATGTCTAGATGACGCTCTTCGTTTATGTTGGCCGAGACGGTATATCTAGAACAATCGATATATCTGTTTGCCATTGAGGTTATATGATGGAGGATTGGCGTCATTACAGGAATCCACATGAACGCACCATACCATCTTCCTCAAGTGTCGAATGATAATCATGATCAAGTAAGGTAGTTATATAGCTAGGTAAACATGTCAACATAAGTTAAGTCAACTTTAACGTTGAATTACTAGGGGTAACATGTGTGAATAACATGGACTATGTGACTTCGGGTATACCCCGATGTAGATACAACAGAAAGGGGCTCTTCTTCCAATAAATAGTGCTCCATGAACAAGATAATCTAATTATTCCCTTCATGACATATTCCTATGTCTTTCTGTTCGCGTTCTACCCTATACTTCTTATCTTATCAAACTACCATTTGATTGGCTCACCGCCCGTCCACCTCAGCGATAATTTTTTCCCCCCATATCGCGTTTCCTCTATAGAAATTCTTTCGCAATGGGAAAGGCTGCCAATCAATCTGAAATGGCTCTCTCCTCCGCCCTATCCTCACCATGGGGGTTCCTCCGGCCTACTAGCGATCTACATACCACCGTCGTGGATTCTGCGAAGCACATTATGGACTCTCTCGCCGGCTCTGTCGTGGACGCCCAAACCACTCGCCGACAACTCAACAAAAAGCGCAAAAGATCTGACCCTGAATCCGATCCAGCCACCCTTCAACTGAAGAACCTTTATGTGGACGGCTTTACTTCGAATCAAATATGGGAGCAGGCGACCCGGATTCTCGAGTCAACTGGCGATGAAGTTGAACGGGATATCACTTTGATAACCCAACACAGTGGTTATCCATCATTGTCGGACCATGAGCAGACCCATGATGTGTCGGATCCTGAGGACGCGCAAACCGATAGTGACAGCAATGAGAACATGTTGGAGGACGTTTCCGAAGCATCAGATGTCGAACGCAGCCCTAAAGAGGAATCTCAGATGGGATCTGACGATCTAGAGCATGAGGATATGGATAAAGAGGATGAGATGGAAGAATGGGATGACGAAAAATTCTCGATTGGCTCTGCGGAAGAAGAGCCTGAAGTCTATGTCGAGGACCGGTTTGGGTTGAACGATGGGTTCTTCTCCATCGACGATTTCAACAAGCAGTCTGAGGCTTTGGAAAGGCAGGACGTTAAGGGAGGCCCCGAAGAGGCCGAGGACAGCGATGAGGAGGATGTGGATTGGCATACAAACCCGTTGATGCCTGGAAGCGCTGCGCCTGTTCGCAACGCAGACACATCGAGGAATTCCCGCACGACTGGGGAAAATGAGGAAGACATGGATGATAGCGAGGAAGAAGGACCGACCTTTGGTAATGCTAGTCTAAACGGCGACTCCGATTCCGACGATGATGCCATGGATATGGATGCCGGTGATGCGGCTGGCTGGGCGAACACCAGCGATATCAAATACGCCGATTTTTTCGCGCCCCCGCCACGCAAAGCCTCCGCTAAGAAAACGCGCGCGCTCCCCAAAACCCAACCCGATGCGCCAGTTGAGGACGATGATGTTGAACGCGCCATGGCCGATGTGCGACGAGACTTGTTTGACGATGATGATGCTTCGAGTGCTGGGGAGGATGCCGTTCTTGGTAAATCTGGAGACACCGGTGCTCCACGCTCCACGCACGAGAAACAAAGGGCACGAATTGCCGATGAAATCCGTCGCTTGGAAGCGGCCAATGTCGCAAAGAAAGAATGGATGCTTGCCGGTGAAGCCAGGGCGGTTGAGAGACCTGTCAACTCCCTCATCGAAGAAGATCTTGACTTTGAACGAATTGGAAAACCGGTTCCCGTGGTCACCAACGAGACAACGGAGGATATTGAAGCGCTAGTCAAGCGCCGGATTCTTGCCGGGGAATTCGATGAAGTCATTCGTCGTCGGCCAGGTGCATCGGACGCACAGGCTACACGAAGGGGCCGGTTTGAATTGGATGATACCAAACCTCAACAGGGTCTGGCAGAGATGTATGAAGCCGATCATCTTCGTGCTAACGATCCAAACTATGTCGACTCGAAGGACCGCAAGTTGATGCGGGAGCATGCCGAGATCACCAACCTTTGGAACGAAGTCAGCTCTCAGTTGGATACGCTATGCAACTGGCACTACAAGCCTAAGATCGCACAGGCCAGCGTCAACGTTGTCACCGACGCACCCACAATCATGATGGAGGAGGCACGTCCCACAGCTGGCAGTGCTGCTGCTGGACCGGTGGGACTTGCACCGCAGGAGATCTACACCCCCGGTGATGGTGACCGAGTCGCAGGAGAGTTGGTGATGAAAAACGGGGAAATCATCTCCAAGGATGAGATGACCCGTGAGGAGAAGGCCAAAATCAGAAGGCACAATAAGAAGACCTCAAAGAAGGCCAACGCCGAGCCTGCTCGCCAACAGCCTGGCAAGGCAGCTGAAAAGCAGCAGGTGATGTCCGACCTGAAGAAGGGAGGAGTCAAGGTTATTGACAAGGAAGGTCGTCTGACAGACATCAATGGTGGCTCCGTCGAGGCAGGCGCCAAAACCAGAGGAGACACCTTGAAATTGTGAAAAGGTGTGGGAATTGGCAGGTTTGGGGGTGTAAAATAATGGATTGAAATCTATTTTTTTTTACATTGCACATATCACATCATGTCTCTATTCTTTTTTGGGGTCAGATCTTTTCGCCCGTATTGTGTAGAGGAAAATGTTCTCTCTGTTGTAACTCTCTGCCCCTGGGTCATCCCGGATCTCTTCCATATCAAAGGCCTTTTTGGCCATCTTCATGAACCGCAGATCGGCACGTCTGCGGCGCTTGAAGCAGAAGTAACACACCGAGTTGGGACCAAGGAGGTCTTGGAGCGTGGTGATTAAAAGAGAAAATGCTGGTTCAAAGTAGACGCAGTCGGCAGCGAGAATAACGTCGGGTTTTGATGGTACCTGGCTTGGGATCGGTTCTCCCCAGTTTAGTATCGCAGCAGTCGCATTCGGGGTGAGGTTGTTTAGTTCAATGTTGGCTTCCATTAGGGAGAACATAGGCTCTTGGTCTGTGATGTAGATCCGCTTCTCAAGACGAGACGCGCGTGCTATGGCAAGACCGACGAGTCCACCTCCTGCACCAAGTTCAACACTGGCGGTTGTTAGTAAACCACAAATGACACCTGGTTGAAAACCCACATTGATTTATCAGATAGATCGGTGGCATGGCGGCACAAGAGGTATTTGGCCAAGACCATCCCTGCAGGCCACAGTTGTCCACCGCATCCATCTTTAAGGTCTTCTTTTAGTAGCAATGGTTCTTTCAAGAGCCCATCAAAAGTGACTTTAGTGGTCACGGCGGCTTTGTTCTCACGCGAGGGGGCCAAGGATTCACTGATGTCAAAGTCAGACAATTGGCTTGGAGAACTGGGTGTTTCTATCATGGCTGAGGTTTGAATAAGAAAAAGGAGAAAGTTTTGGTGGGGGTGCACTTATCGCAACAAGGATCACATAATCACAGCGATTCTATAAATTCCCAACACTAGTAACCTAGGTAGCTACTATGATTCTATTCTTGTGGTGGAAAGCAAGACTATTGTAGTAGCTCTCGTAGCCTATCTTGATGCCGGTATCTATAAACGAAATCCCTTGCTGTCGATCAAAAAACAAGCTTGGGCCCGTGCGAACATCCTTTGGAGATCCACAAAAATCGCCTACATGTAGGCATAGTATAAGTTACCATCTACACTTCAGGTGTTATATGACATAGGAGTCTTGGAATAACCTCTATTCCCCTTGGTAAACCAGTGCCATGGGGAAGCTATGCATGGGGTGATCCATTTGGGGTCATCTTGCTAGTTTAGTTACCTAGGTGGATATACCCAAATACAAGTATACATTCGTCTGGGCAAAGGGTAACCTATGAAAAAGAAGAAAGGCGACAAAGGAGAGAAAAGAAAGCACTAATCCAGCCAGGATCTACTACATATTGAGACATCAAATACTAAGTGTCTACAACAGGAACAACTTACATATTAAGCCACAGAGCTACTTAAAGCACAATTCAAATCGGAGTTACAATGTCAATTTCGTGTACATTTACATCCGGCATAGTAGGTTTAAGTATACAAACATAGCACTGATCATAATGTCTGTGGAGAACAGTAGGCATAATTCAGACTAGAAATGACTTGGTATTATTTCACTTAGTCGAAGGGGTGAGTGCGCGTTCCCCACCAAGTCAAGAACAAGCTGAGTCCAACAGTTTCAAATACTCTCGAAACGGCACCAACAGCGACAGTGTCCAGGGGACGCTTCTCAGCGAAGACTTGGCTCACGAACTAGATAATAGTTAGAACATATCCCGACATCAATATAGAACAATATAGGGAAGCATACACTTGGGGCAGATGTTGCGAAGAAGATAAGTGTTCCCAGGTAGGCCGCACCCTTGTAGGTCAGGGTGCCAGTGGCGTTAATCAATGCAGCAACACCATAGGTCTGCACGGCGCTTCCAGCAAGGGAGCTTCCCCAGGCAGCGGCGGCACCGGCGGCCTCCTTCGACTTGATGAACTCTTCCTTTGAGTTGGCAGCCTGAGCGCGGTGGTAGGTGTCTCCGAAGACGGGGGCGAGAATGCCCAGGGAGGCAGTGTGGGTGAAGACTGTGCCCAGCGCAATAGCGGAGGGCTTCACGGGAGGGAGATCTAGACCTTGTCAATAACAAACGATTCAGTTTTGAACCATAAGGAACTCACAGTGCAGAGTAGTCATTGTAAGTTGAGTAGTGTGTAGTTGGAGAAATCGAAGTACCCCGGAAGGCGCTTTATGAATGCAGGGTTAGCAGGGTGACGTCGTCATGATTCAGAAGAGGCTGAAGATGCGGAGGGCCATGACGTCAACTCACAGCCATACAAGGAAGTTGTCTATAGCAGGAATATTGAATGTAGGCAAGTTACTTGATTGCATTCGCTTTATGATTTATCTAAAGGCTTGACTACGCCGGCTCACCGTTGCTCATGGAATGCTATTGGCTATCGGCTATCTACCTAGTAGGCATTCAATGATATATTATACAGTGGGGATATGAACTTCAATCAGAGAGTCATTTAGAGTCCCTTGGAATTCCTTATTTGCTTCAATCGCTCAGATCATCCAGACAAAACCGGACAGGCCGGGGTTACATTGGCTAGACCTCCTCACGATCATAGCCAGATTGAGGTAGGCCTATCTATGCTGGAATGTGGTAAGTGAGTAATGACAATTCGTGTAAATATACCGCAAAGTACTCATGTAATAGCCCAGTCTAACATAGATGGATACCGCCAGACTGGGGTTGAGGGCGTGGGGTGAAAGTGATCCGCGGGTTAGCCGTACTGCTGAATTGTCTCTTGGGTTGTGTTTCCTGCGGAATGTTTCTTTTGTGTTTGTCTATTCCCGGGCAAAATCTCCCAGTCTTGGTCTCCTTTCCCATGGACTTTTCTGTGTATCCTATTCTAGGTATTCACCTCAGTTCTAGTAGGAAGGGTGACTGTTTGCGCATGTTCTAGCGACTTGAATGATGCTCTCTTGGAACATAATTCTCTTCTATCTGGGATTTCTATGCATGAACCTGCAGAATTAACAAGGGGAAAAAGGGTGGAGGCTAGCTTGAAGGCGCGAGAAAAAAGTGTATTGATTTATGCAGGTATGATCAAGCAAAGGTGCGGCAGGTATATCTGTAGAGTGGTTAGCCCAGAACTAATAATGGGAAGCGGATCATGTCCTACTTTTCGGGGTAGCCGTGCTCTGTGCCAAGCTCGTACTTGGACTGTGAGTTCTGAGGGACAGAGTTGATGTTGCAAGGAGTGGGAGGCAGACCATTGGCGCTAAATACACCCTGGATGCTATTCTTGTCTTGCTCGAATAGAGCAGCCAAACCCCGCTCTTCACCCTGCTCCTTGACAGCAACCAATTGCTGCTCGCCAGCCTCTCCGATCTTCAGGACACCATCCTTGGGGGCTGCCTGGCTTCCGACGGTGAGGAGGCCGACTGCGTCTGACTGGCGCACAGTGCTCAGTTGAGGGTAGCTCCTCCGGACATCCCGCTTCCAGTAAGGGTTGTCGGCAATGTCACCCGCCGGGAGGGTAACCGGATCATCGTAGGCCAGGGGAGGCAGCGAGCCGGGAGTAGGAAGGCGGTACTGAGAGTTCAAGGGGACACCGGTCGAGCGCTCAGGGTCAATAGCGAAAAGGCGACGGATCCGCTCCCAGACCCCAGTAGACTGGACCGAGTATTTCTGGCAAATTGAGTAAATGACCATCATTGAGTGTATGGACTGCCTACCTGGTTAATAGAAACGACGTTTGATGCCGCCTTAGCGGCGTTCAGGACACCGCGAGCCATGATGAGAAGACTCTGCTCTGTTGTTGAAGGTCAGCGCGTTGTCAGAAAATGTTTTCAAAAGACAAGAACTGACACGTCCTTGCTCAAGTGATTTGACTTACGACCTGGAATCTCTGGAAATCGTCAAGCGTCTGCGAGTGTTTGAATCAAGCCGGTGCAGGGTACCTCCGGAGGTGCGATCCCCGGCACGGATTATTATCACACCGAGCCACACAGCAAATGGCATTACTAATTCGGAATTCCTACCCTACCTACCTAGGTCCATGCACCTACCTAACGTTAACTTATAGGTTATTGTCTATTTGCCCATTTCACTTCTTTTTTACCTCTCTATTTTGCCAATTCTATAAATACTCGCAATGCCCACAGCAAGGCGTCATTATTTCTAGTATCTCCTTGGAAGACTATATTTACATTTATATGTAGACACCTCTTTTTCCATGTTAGCCACCTTTTTAACAATGCTCAATGCTGTCTGATAGCCCTGGCTCAAGAAGTTATGATTTAGTTTGATTGCATCACTGGCCCTATGACTCAAGTCTGAATCGTGAGTCGTCGTTTGTTACTTAATCCTAATATAGCTACATAAGGGTGCCTGGGAAGGTGCTAAGCTACCAACGGAAGGTCTAGGTTTCCTTTGCTTAGCTTGAGAAGTTTTTCTTCTTTCCCTTCTCCCTTCGTCTTTTAGGATCGCAACAGTCTACGGAAAGCATAAGTCTCAATATATTCTAGGGCTTTCCGAGAACATACCGTATCGGATCCGCTGCCATACATTGCTACTGCTGATCATTTGATGACTTCCCCGTCGTCGCCTTGTTTGGAAAGCGTTGATACGAAAACAATTTCGCTCTTCTCTGTTCATTTGAAACTTCGCGAATGCAAATGGACTCTCTAGCAGTTTCGTGAGGATTTAAAAGTGATCGCGAGCAATTCGTTGAAAGCTAGCCCCCGGCATCCATTCTGGGACATGTCTCACTGGACGAAGATGAGCATGAAACCTGAAAAGAAAAGACAATAAACTTACATGCCGGGATCAAATCAACTAGCCATGCGCCTGGGAAAACCGCAACCGAAAACTGCTTCAGTGCGTGATCAGCCAGACGTACTAACGGGTCTTCGCCATGAGGCTCGATGTTATAGCCGTATGTTATATTCAAAATGAAAGCACTGACAGCCCTGTAGATTTCGATAAGCTTCATTGCAAGGTGTGCTATCACTTCCGTCCTGTTATGTCGGATGAACTTCTCAGGTGCCCGAAACACACGGCGTGTAAACCGCTTGCCTCTAACCATTAAATCAGGACGCGGATTCTCGTGTTCCGAGACTCTCGTCACAGCTCGTCGATAGGTTCGCAGAAGTGGTATATTATCCTGGCTTGATAGTAGCTTCCCCATCCAGACCTCCCTTTAACTCAGAACGCGCCTTTTATGAAGAGAACGTTCCACACTAATTCAAGGTTCATCGGCGATGACGAGGCGCGGTCGGGATGAATTCTCTGCAGAATTCTTCTCCAGGATCTGAAACGCCAGGTCTCTATCATTGATTATTATAGTGGTTTTCCCTAGAACTGTGATCGAGCAGAGAGGTCCCGCTAGGGCTTAGCTTGGTCAAAATGGCCCACGAGAAAGCCCACCCTAGAGATCTTTGTGCTTAAGCCAATGTTTCCATTCCTGCATCCCCGACGAGTGGAAGGTCAAGCAAAATTGCTGATCAATATGCATCTTGGCCCTGCAGGTAGATCCGCCTTTTTTTCTTGTGAAAATTCGTAGAGCAACCAGGCCCAAAGTGAAGACGACCAAGTGTATTAACATCATTGTTAGGACGAAAGGTGAGAGGTGGAGAGAAGATATAAGGAAGGGATAAGCCCGATTTGGTCAGTTGGTGCGCTCCGTAGTTGATTGGTTGTATATACGTATGCATCGGGAGTCTGCCAAAATAACACGTCTCTCACCTCGAACACCCGGTTATAGGCCATCTTCTGTGATGCGCCTTAGTCGAGCCATGTAGTTATTCAACGAACTTAACTTAAATGCCTAGACGGCGATGCTCAGATGAATATTTGATGAGGTTGAAACTGCCTGTAAAAGCCACTGTCGCACATGCACTGCCTGGTATCTTGATGTCGCTGATAATAAATGTACATGCGTGAAATCACTCTGGTTTATCATCTTCCTTGCTGTCATCCTTAGCATTGGCGACAATCTTTTGAACTGCGTCCACAGTGGCGTCTGGGCCACCGGCCTCTCGAAGCAAGACTTTGCCCTTCTTATCCACGGCGAAAACACCGCGGGTCGTTCCCTTGGGGGACTTCTTGAATCCAATGGCAGCAATAAGTGTGGCCTTAAGGTCGCAAATCAGAGGATATGGCAGGTTTTGTCTTGTCTTGAAGGTGGTGTTGGCCTTGGGAGAGTCCCCCGAGAGGCCATAAATGGAGAGACCAGTGGAGGTCAAATGCGTGTGGTTGTCACGGAACAAGCATGCTTGCTTAGTGCCTGAGTAAATGGTGAGCTAGTGTGCTTGAAAAGAAGCCATTGAATGTTGCTAGGCAGTAATAAAAACTGTCGCAGCATGGAAAATTAGGAGCATGAGCTCCCAAAGGGCCACGGTTCCAGATTCCAGATTGATGAGGGATTGGGATGATGACTTACAGCCAGGAGTGGAGGCTTTCGGGTAAGTAAACAGCACCACACCTGCCTTGCTCTCATCAACGAGCTTCTGCAGGGTAGTTTTCACGCCGTCATTGATCTCAATCTCACCCCCAAAGGTCTTCAAGTCGATTGTATCGTCGGTTTCCGGGACCTTTGGCGCGGGGCTTTCTTCAGTATCAGTCTCTGGCTCCTTGGGCTTGGGGGCCGGCTTGGGCTTCTTCTCTGTGGTGGGAGGCTGAGCTGGTGCCTTGCGCTTCCTGAGTTCGACCATGTTGAAAGTGTAGAGGACAGTGATCTCCAGAGATCTGGAACATAAGCTCTGGTCTCAGCACCTGGTTAGTCAGCCGGGAAAACCCGCGCCCTGACCCGTGAAAAAATTGGATTTTCCCCTCGACTGACGGATCGTCCAAAATCCACCTTTCTCCATTTTTTTCTGCTTAGACTCTTACTCATATTCGCCTCCCTTGACTAGATTTCTTTGACTTTCATCTGGGAAGCTCACCATTCACCATTCACCATTCACCTACTCACCCTCACCTCTCTACCTGCTTAGTCGCTTAGTCGCATTTTCGCCTGTTTGCCCATCTCCTTCGACTCAGGCAATCACACCCGCTCTACTGATACTTTCCTACGACTGAGACTGTCTTGAACAGTGTCAGGGTGAGCCAAAACCCGCCATAATGAAGGTTTTCTCCTCAGGATGTACCTTCGACTACTCGTGGGACGAGGTGTCGACAGCAAACTGGCGCAAATACTGTCCCTGGAACGACAAGTCCACCCACGTTGTGGGAGTAGACACACTTTCTCGATCGGTTGATCCAAGCACTGGCATCGTGAGTTGCTTCGATACGGCATGAGCGAATCCGGTGATTCCTAACTGACTCATTTCTAGTTGCGAACCGAACGTCTTATCACGTGCAACCAATCTGTACCACAGTGGGTTCTCTCGCTGCTTGGTGGAACTACCACATCCCACGTCTATGAAATCTCCTATGTCGACCCAGTTGCCAAGAAAGTTACTATGTGCTCTACGAATCTCACATGGTCGAATGTCCTCAGCGTACGCGAGACTGTCACCTACCGTCAATCCTCCCTTAGCCCGACCACTACCACCGATTTTACTCAAGAAGCGAAAATTACTGCTCTTTGCGGTGGATGGCAGAAGATCAAAAACAAGGTCGAGGATGCCAGCGTCGAACGATTCCGTGAAAACGCCAAAGTTGGCCGCGAAGGCTTTGAGGCTGTCCTTGAAATGAGCCGTCGCGTCTTCGGCGAACAACGTGACCTCGAAAAGCAACGAATGCAGGCATAAACCACCTGTCACCATCGACATCTTTCAGCACCGTCTTTTGATACCATTTGCATAAAGCGACTGCATATTCCGGCGTATGATCTGCATTTCGAAGCATGTGGCGTGTGGAGTTTTCGTTTGATCTTTCCTTTAACCCTCGACTCCCGTGGATCAAACACCACTCATGGCCTTAAAAAGTTTGCACACTCCATTTTTTTCAGCGCGTTATCTTTTATGATCATTTCATTTGCCTTCGAAGAAGGCAAAGATGTACCATTAGAAGCACTCGAACTTAGATTTGAAATTCTATCATCGTACAACATGAACTTGAAACCAGCCCCAAAAAAACGTTATGTCCTGAAACAAATTTCCTGAAATCATCCAAACTCCAGACCGGAAGGTATATACTCCTCACGAAAGCAAAACACTATCCCAATAGTCCGCCAAGAACCACCCGACTGACGCCAGCAACTTCGTTTTTGACGCTATTCCGGCTCGCGTCTTCAAACTCCCGCACAGCGCCAGCCACCATAATCTTCCGTAGCTTGGCATCGGCTTTGGAAAACGCCTCACCCAGAGCCACAGTGCAAACCGAAGGAGATGACACTAGCGTGGTAAGCCGACTATAGCAGTCAATCAAAACATCGCACAGGGTGGCGAACGTCTCAAAGAAGTCTGGTTCGAAGGGTAATGAGGGTGTGAGAAGATAGGTATATTCCTCTCCGGGGAGAAGATCAGAAGACTCTGTCAATGGAAACGACACAATAGAGGCTGCGGAAGAGGAAGTTGACGAAATATTGCCCGCTGTGTTCTTCAAATCTGATGGATCACTGGACTGCATTGGGAGTCCGATCTCGGTTGCAGAACTCGCACGACGAGTCTTCGTTCCTGCATGCGCAGCTCGCTTGAACATTTGTGGGATGCGCGCCCTAGCAAGACTGGACGAGGAACTGCCATCCGGAGGGTGCACTTGCTGGAAAGCCTCAAATTCTAAGAGTAGCGCATTGAGGGCTTTTAGATACTCAAACGGAGTTGAATTGACGTCTAGGATTGGCGGCAAGGATAGGCCAAGTAGCAGGTAATTGATTGCTCGACGAGAGAGTTTTCGGGGCTCAAAGTATGGCAGACGCGCGATATCAGCTCGCGAGAAATGCACAGTATTAAACCAATAGACCCGACCTTCATGACTGCGGGGAGAGTTAGTTTATTTGGTGACAGACTGGATTCTCCACTCACGCTTTTCTCAAGTAGTCTAGGGTCGATATTCGTTTAGCGGCCATCTCATGGATCTGTTGATAGATTGCGCCTGCACTCTGCGGTCCGAGCAGACCACCTCCGCTGGATACTGGTGGTGGGATGCCATGCGAACTTTCAAATCCACCACCCGACTTGGCTGTGTCCCTCCGCGACAGACTCGGGGCAAAAGTAGAGGGCACCATTGGCGTCGCTGCGTCGTTGGGGCGTTCGGGTGAATTCAAACGATACGAGGTGGTCGACAGGGGTTGCGAACAGGGGCCCAAGACGTGGGAGGTCTCCGAACGAAGACACGAAGTGACCGATCAGATCACCGTGGTAGAGGCAGTTCGAAAATGGGCGAAAGGAGGCCTTGCGAGACTGGGATCTAGAAAAAGTTCCCCGCAAGTCAGAGTGTGAAGGGATTACATACCGTGTACCCCGTGCTCTCTAGTAATTTATTCCGTCGATCATCCCCCTCCACCCCTCTTGCTTTTCTCCCTACAGGTATTCACGATTTGTTTGGCAGTATCAACATGGACACAACACCCCCCGAAGAACAGATTCCTCTGCCTGGACAATGGCCAGTTGACCCTCAGGAGGATGTGCCAATCTCGGAGGATCGACTTTGGGTTGATGGTTGCTTCGACTTCAGCCACCACGGTAAGTCTAAAGTATTACCTTCTATTCAATCGCTGGAAGCTGATCGGAGTCAATCTACAGGTCATGCTGGTGCTATGCTCCAGGCCCGTCAGCTAGGAAAGGAACTTTACGTGGGGATTCACTCCGACCAAGCAATCCTCGAAAACAAAGGTCCGACAGTGATGTCACTTGAAGAACGGTCAGTTTGCATTGTCCTGTTCCATACCCTAGTATACAGCTAACGTGCTCATTCTATAGTGTTGCGGCTGTCGACGCGTGTCGGTGGGCTACTCAGAGCGTTCCCTATGCCCCCTACGTGACCTACCTACCCTGGGTATCCCATTACGGATGTAAATACGTTGTTCATGGAGACGATATTACCTCTGACAGTGATGGAAACGATTGCTATCGATTTGTCAAAGCAGCTGACCGTTTCCGCGTCGTCAAAAGAACCCCGGGGATATCGACTACGGACCTTGTTGGCCGCATGTTGTTGTGCACCAGGAACCATTTTGTTAAATCTGTCAAAGGTACTCTCGCTGGACAAGAAGGATTTGGAAGCCCCGAGGAGCGCAAAAGCTCCGCTACGGATCTTCTACAGAGGATTAAGGACTATGCTACAGACGAGAGTGGTCTGCAGCCTGGTCCTCAAGTTTGGACATGGACTGGTTCAGGCACTGCAAAAATGGACCATGTGGTTGAGGAGCCTGGTCTTTTCGAGACGCTGGTCGATGGAAAGGGTCCCAAGCCCGGGCAGCGTATTGTTTACGTTGACGGAGGCTTCGACCTTTTCTCCTCAGGTCACATTGCGTTCCTGCGCAAAGTCATGGAGCTTGAAGAAAAGCTAGGCCGTCAGAATGGTTGGTATGAGCCACATCAGACCGCAGAGAGATTGAAGGGCTACAACGAAGACTATTCTCCCGCCTACATCGTTGCAGGTATTCATGATGACGACGTGATTAACCACTGGAAAGGGTTGAACTACCCAATCATGAACATTTTCGAGCGCGGTCTCTGCGTTCTCCAATGCCGCGTAAGTCTACTGCTTGACGCACTAGAAATATTGCTGACTTTCGTTCTAGTACATCCATGCTGTCATTTTCTCTGCACCCTTCACCCCCAGCGAACCATACCTGAAGGCGATTCCATGGGGCACTCCCGATGCTGTCTACCATGGACCTACAACATTTATTCCGTTGACTTATGACCCATACACTGCCCCTAAGCAAATGGGAATCTTCCGGGAAGCTGAGCAGCATGCTTTCCAGCACGTCAACGCTGGCGAGATCGTTGGCCGGATTTTGAAGAGCCGAGAAGCCTATGAGGCCAGGCAACGTGCCAAGCTGGATAAAGGCGTTGCCGAGGATTTGGTGAAGTCGAGAGAACAAGCAGAGCAAGCCTTAAAATAGGCGGATGGGGAAATACTAATGTAATGAGATCAACTGTACATACAAAGCCACAACCTCATCAACTGGGGTTCTAACAAGGCAAGGCGCCAGCTCATTCTTTCGCGGCGCAGTCACCATCACTCTCTAGAAGACCCACCACCTATCCAGTACCCTTGTAGGTTGGAGATTATTGCCATTCGTCGGATTTCCATCTGACCGAGGCTTTCTGACCCGCAGTATATTCCTACCAAAATACATTAGAGACAAATAGTTTTACAGAGACAACCATCTACCAGATGGAATGGCCAACATCTTGCACCTGGGCCCATTTATTCATCCGCCGCGACCAGAACGCCCTTGGTTTCGAGAAGCTTTGCAAGCTCACCATTCTGGTGCATAGACATCAGAATATCACAGCCACCAATGAACTCCTTCTCCAGATATAGCTGGGGAATTGTCGGCCACTCTGAGTACTCCTTCACACCTGATGATTCATGGCAATTAGCACACCGAAAATGAAGGACAAACCCCACACTTCAAGCGATCCATACCTTGGCGCAGCTCCGCATCCTCGAGCACATTGAATGCAACAAACTTCTTGGGGTCAACGCCCTGCAGACCTAGGATTTGAATGCTGGCACGCGAGAAACCACACTGCGGCGTCTCCGGGGTACCCTTCATGAACAGAACAACCGGGGCGGAGGCAACGGCCTTGTCAATCGCTGTACGGGTCTCATTGGACAAGAGGCGTGCATGGAGAGCAGAAGGGATAGAGGGACCAGAGGGGAACTGGATGGCCGAGCGGACGGGGCGCAAGAAGGTTGGTCGTGAGACCGGGCGGAAAGCCTTCATGTATCAGTGGAACAGTCTGTCATTTGAAAGTATGATACGTACCGAGGCGATAGCTCTGGAAAACATGGTTATAAATGTGGGAAAGAGAAAAAAAGATGATGAGTTGCGAAAGACTCCGGGAGGGTTAGTATTATTTAATCAGCGGTTGGTTAGTCCCAGTGTACGTCGATCTCCACTACACCCGACCTTGTTACAAGGACTTCCATATATACGTGTACCTTGGTGTATTTATGCTGGTCAAAAATATTCCAAGTAAAAGCCCGAAGCAGACTAATTTACAAATAAATCTTGTATATGGTATCTGGAGTACTGGGGAATTAATCATGCCAGCCATTCAAAATTATCTAGCCCACATAGACGACCTGAAACTTGTGCTTGAAATCAGTTCTATTATTACATTTCTTACTGTGTCAGGTTGGCCTCTGACGCTTCGTGTTATTGTACAGACCAAGGTATTCTGTGGCATATTCGCCCAGCAAGCCCAAGGAGATTCCTCCACCGGTCAACAGGCACCCGTTTTTGAACCACCACCAGCAGTTCCGAACATTCTTCAACTGGACCTTCCAGATCATAAGGCCAAGAGATACAACCGCACTGCCACAGCTACCGACGAAGAAGACAGGCCCACAACCAGCGGCAACTCCTGCGGCTGCGAGGAGCGAGACCTGAACTGCCGCCAGACCACTCAAGACAGCTTTGGTATTGTGCTCGTGACGGAGGGCAATTGACTTGATCCCAGCGGCGGCATCATCTTTAATGTCCATGTGTGCATAAATCATATCGTACAGAACCGTCCAAGCAATGCAGCTGGAGTAAAGGGCACCCGCGGCCATCAAAGCATCGTGATTGGCAAGCAGGTCTATACCCAATGCCGGGAATCCCATGATCGCGCCCCAGGAAAAGGCAAGACCCAAAACCGCCTGTGGATAGTTGGTCACACGCTTGGCCAGGGGATAAGCTACCACGATGGGCAGACTAGGAACTCCATACCAGAGACACTGAGAGGGAAATGAAAGAAGAACCCCCAACCCAGCCAGCAGTTGTGTCCCAGTAAAGAGCACTGCGTTTTTCGGCGAAAGCGCGCCTCTAGCAATGGGTCGGAATTTGGTGCGTTCAACATGGGGGTCTAGGTTCCGGTCCCACAAGTCATTGATCGCGCAGCCTGCACCCCGCATGATTAGCGCACCAGAGAAGAAGAGCCCTACGGTGCCAAGGACCTGAAGTGGTGTCGCACCGGCAGCCATTGGTGCTGCGAGAAGAGTGGAAAAGAGTGTTGGGAAGAATAGGTAGTACGTGCCCGTGGGCTTATCCAGTCGCACCAACTCCGCATATGGAATCCATGATCTCGGCAAGGACGCAATCAAGCCGGTCTTTGGCGGAATATAGTGAGTGGCGGGGTTCTTCTCTGGGCCATCTGACTCGACTGGCTGGGCCGCGGGTGACTGTAATTGCGAGCTGTACCGGAATTTGGCTTGTGTTGTTCGCAGAGCCGTACTAGACGATGGGCTAGGGAGACTGTGGGCTTTCAATTGCGTATATAGACAAGCATTGTGAGCAAGGGGTGAGAGGCGACCGATGGACCGGCGAGTGAAAGCAGCCTTCGGGGTGGTATATGGGGATAACCGACGGAAGGAACGGAAGCCGGTGGAAAGCATTGTGGAATGGCGCAAGAGGGGAGAAAACTAAAAGGGTCAATCAACCGCAATATTCATTATGATCTCAGAGCCATTTGAATGCTGGAGAGCTCCGGGAATACATCGTCATGAAAAAAAGCGGCTCCCCCTAAGCCTAATTAGGAAATATCCAGGTACATTACTGTATGAATGTTATATCTCAGGGATCAGAACCAAGTGGTCAATTTTTCTTTTTCTTTTTTTTTTTTTTTGAGACTTTGGAGATCTGTAGACATCACAGTCTTTTTAGACGTCTTCTTACATGTCTCTTGTAACTATCTTTGAATCTCCAACATGAAGCGACTTTCACGTGTGACTTCTGCCTGAGGCGCTTATCGACGCGGCATCCCGCGTTCCCCAGACGAACTCAGTGCGATGCAAAGCTTCCACTTCCTTTCCCCTCACCTGCCTTCGAACATCCCACTCGATTCCTTCCTACTTTCTGGTGTAATTTGTGTCTATCGTGTCTATCGTGTCTATCGTATCATTGTCAAGCCCACTGCCCAAACACGATAAGCTTCACCGTTGAATTGCGCATCCTCAGGTAATGAGGCTCGGATCCTTTCTTCTCGCAACCATCTGACACTTGCACCAAGTTTTTCTCACTGCCATTTTCCTTCCACGAAATGCACTTTACCATCTATCGAACCCCGAAAAGAAGTGCACACTAGCTCGATCCCAGCACAAACGAGATGCCCGCTCACCGAGCCCGCCTGGCCTTCGAGCCAATGCCCCCCGACCTCGATATTGACTATGTCGTGGATACGACGGAGAACTTCCAGTTCGCGGACCGAGTCACTTGTGACTCCCTCGATAGATTCTCTCTCGAGCAATTTGAGAAGCTCGCCCATTTCCAAGTGGTTTTGACCGGCAGACCGCTTGTCGTGGAAGGGTTTCACCAACGGTGGGACAAAGACCTCTTCTCTGAGAAATGGCTCCGAGAGAAGTATTCGTCAAAAAGTAAGCTGGTTCACTTGACTGTACGTTCCTCTTTCTTGGCCAAATCTAATTTCATCTCTCTCTTGACAGTCGAAGATGTTCGTGATCTCAGCAAGAAAAACAACCGGCCATTCACTATAGGGCATTATCTGAAAAGCCTTCCGCTCTTGTCCAAAAAGATCACCTCTGATAACTACATGGACAAAACCTGCCAGCGGCTTTACATGAAGGACATCGACTGCCCTTCGGAGTGGCAGGAAAACCTCGAGCAACTCATTCCACCGGCCTTGTTTTACCTAAATGATGCTCCAAAGCCTTTCTCTGGGCCTGCATCATCTGATACGAATGTGTCCTCGCACCCCAAATCCTCACAGGGCGAACCACTTGCCCCAGCGGGCGATCTAATGAGCAGTCTTCCACCAAGTATGCGGGCTGAAAATCTGATGTGTTATATTGGCCATGAAGGGACCTTCACACCAGCCCACCAAGAGATGTGTGCTAGTCTTGGCCACAACATCATGGTGGATGCTTCAGATGGTACCCCAGAGAACGGCCAAAAGACAGAACCCGGATCGTCGATCTGGCTTATGACCCAAACAAAGGACCGGCGCGTTGTGTCCGAGTACTGGATGTCTGTTCTGGGGCATGACATTGACATTGAGGATTATTTCGCTCCCATGCACGCATGGGCTATTGCTCCATTTAAGACGTGGGTCGTGAAGCAGAAACCCGGTGACCTTATTCTCGTTCCTCCTCTTGCAGCCCACCAGGTGTGGAATCGCGGCACGCGCACTATCAAGGTGGCGTGGAATCGGACTACTGTTGATACGCTGGAGCTGGCCTTAGGTGAAGCGCTACCACATGCGAGGATGGTTTGCCGGGATGAACAATACAAAAACAAAGCAATTGTTTTCTTTACCCTCGAGCGATATGCAAAGATGTTGCGACAGGCAACGAAGGTCGAGCACCCGGTGGTTGACGAGTTGTGGGCCGTCTTCAAAAGACTCTTCAGTATGTTCACAGACATTTTGTTGTCCGAAACATTTTCTCGGAAGACCCCAGAAAAAGATGTTGAGTATCATGCTTTCCAAAGCAATGTCACCTGCTCGTATTGCAGGTGCAATATCTTCAACCGTTTCCTTACCTGCCCCGGCTGTGCGCATTCTCTGGGCGGGGACCAGGATCCATACGACGTATGTATGGACTGCTACGTTATGGGAAGGAGCTGCGGATGCATTTCCAACCTGAAATGGGTGGAGCAGTTCCATTGGAAGGATCTGATAGATCGCTATGAGATATGGCGACGTCTAATCATTTCTTCCGATCCAGCGAACAAGAGCCTCAAGTCCGACTACCCCACCTTTGTTGTCGCTCGAGGAAAAGCGGCCACCAAAACGATTGCGGAAATTTGCCAGGAGCAAATGGCACGTCGGCCTTGGAACGATCCCAAGAAGCCCAAGGCTGTCAAGAAGGCAGAGATACTCGATACAGCCAGTGGGTCAGAGGACGACAGCCGATCCCGAAAGCGAAAAAAGATTCGGAAGCCAAAAAAGATCCATTCGGAGGATGTTCATCGCTGCCACGTCTGCCTCCATTTTGAAGTCAATTGGAAGCTCGCCCCTTGTTCAAATTGTGATCAGCGATACTGCTATGGCAGTCTATTCCGGGCCTTTGAAATCCCACCACAAGCCGTCATGGAGAAATATCACTGGTTATGTCCAAAGTGCCTGAAAGTGTGCAGCTGTGGGGCCTGCAAACGTGACTCCACAATGAGGCCCTATGAGCCCAACTGCACCGTTCTTGGGCATGATACCAGCAAGGTGGCGGACCCTCGAAGCGTGGAGACTTTGGTGGACTTCCGCAAGTCCAATCTCTGGTGGTTAAAGAAATTCGGCGATGACGTTCATGGGCGGATCCGGAAACACCAAGATGAAGCCGAGTCCGCCGAAGTAGAACGGCAAAAGACTCTGGAAGAACATGGGTTTCTTTTCGAGTCCAGCCCGTCGGAACACCAGACCCAAACCAGCAATGGCAATGGCAATGGACAGTTGAACGGAAGCGGCACCGAAGATGACGATGCAGAGCCCCAACGCCTGGATGAAGATATTCCTGTTGATCCGTCCCTGATGCTCAACAACGCCTTTCTAAACTTGGAAGACTGAGGCTGATTCAACATCCGGAAAATCCTTCCCCCCACCCTAAACCAAATGAACAGAGTCCATGAACACATTTGATTCCTTGAGAGTGCTTTTTGGTTCCTGGCGAGCTTGCAATTATTTGTTTAAGATTCCCCGAAGGGCTGCACCCTTCTGCGACAATTCTTTTTTTTTTTTTTTTTTTTTTTTTTTTTTTTCCAAATCTGGCTTATACTTTAATAATGACCACATGAAATCAGACATTCGACGTTTTCACATTGTCTCATGTACCTGGCTAAGCTCCTTTGTATTCGTACTGTAGATCTTTGAGGGGGGTGAGGTCTACAGAGCGCATCACCCTTTGCGCGAGAAGAATCGTCACAAGCATGACTATAGTAGACAATCAGGCGCTGTTCGGGCAGTGAAAGACAAGGAAACATACCTCCAGGCATCAAGTAGAGCACTGGCCGAATGCCCCATGAAGATCCCGCAGAGAGATACACCAAAGCCAGTAACAAGCAGACTGCACTAGTTCCAGGCACCAGACCAGCATGCAAGCGAGCCATCCGCTCATTACGGACCGTCATGGGCTTCTTGCCTTTGCGGTCTGACTGAAGCGGGGAGCTTCTCATGATGTACGCCGTTGTCAACAATGAGACCAGCCCGAGGAGAGAGAATAGCCGTTCGAAGTGACTCGAAGCTGACAGCACCGAAGAAACAAATACCACGGCAGTTATCAGTGGGAGTGCAGTGAAAACCATCTAAAAATATTCAGTGTTGGCCATCAAATACATAGGAAGATATGTACACTGTACTGAGCATTGCGGGCATCGTTCTGGCTCTGCAACTGTTCGATGACCTGTTCCTGCTCCTCATCGTCCAGCTCCTCGCGTTCGCCATCTGATTCCTCGGGATAACGAAAGGCCTTGCGCAATCTCACAGCAGCCATGATAGTGAAGAAGATAAAAGCTGACAACCTTGGAAGTATAGGTGGTGTGACGAATGGACTGTTTGTCATGTTTGCTTTTTTTCTTCCCGATACTGATACTTCCCCCATTTCCACCCAGACCAATACATCCGATCTTCAATCTCCTCATGGTCTTCTCTCGAGTATTCACCCGGCGCGCTGGGCTTGCCCGGCTATCAGGCCGTCAAAACGTCCCTTCACGGCGCACAATGATGCCGGCACCAGGCCCGAACACCGGTCCGCTGATGGAACGACGCGCAGACCGCGAGCTCCCGAACCCCAACTCTGGCGGACGGCGCTGGTTGTACACTCTACCTATCTTTGTGATCGCTACCGGAGCTGGCATGCTTGGAATCTTCAACTACCAGAAGTCTTCTTCGAGCGTGGTGAACAGCACGCTCTATGCTTTGCGGACATCTCCGCGGGCCCGCGAGATCCTCGGTGATGAGATCTACTTTGCGCAGCAGATCCCTTGGATTAGTGGCGAGATGAACCAATTGCATGGCCGTATCAACATCTCATTCTGGGTTAAGGGTACCAAAGCCCAGGGCAAGATGAAGTTCCACAGCATTCGACCGGATCGTATGAGTTACGTAAGTGTTCGGCGTTATTCGTTTCTTACATTTCTTACACAAGGACAAATACTCTGCATACCCTGGACCATTCGCATTGCTAACCGTCTATTCTAGTTCCGCACTGAGGAATGGAGCTTGGAGACTGAGGACGGAAATGTGGTTCAATTGCTCGACAGTGATAGCGATCCGTTCCGGCAAAACTGAAGACTGGTGGCTGTGTGTACAGATAAAGTAGTGCATGGGCTCAGGCGTTCTGGAACATCATTTATGGGACCATTTGTTGCGTTATAAGCCGAATTGGCAAAGTTCTTGCAAGGAACAGTGGCTATTGAGAGAAAAAAGGAAGAAGGATATCATTTTATGTATCATATACAAACGCCGCTCAAGTGAAACAATATCGCGCGTATAGTGTAATAGTACATGCCGTCCAAAGCCGAGGAAAATCTCCAATCAATTAAGCAGTTGCGGCGGCAGGTTCCGCAGTCTCTGCCTGCGGCATCTCGGGCCAGGGCTTCTTGATCGCATCCTGAATTCTCACGACGCAGCCCTTGGGACCACTGACAGCACCTACAGATTCGGAACAACGTTAGCAAAAAGGTCGTCCCAGAGCAAAATCAGAATTCAGATCACATACCGCTCACAACCACAATTCCATTCTCAGAATCCACCTTGAGAATCTTCAAGTTTTGAACGGTGTTCTGCTGGTTGCCCATGTTTCCAGCCATCTTCTTACCGGGGTAGACACGAGAACCACCACCCTGACCGGGACCGGAAGAACCCATGGAACGATGCGTCAAACTCACACCGTGACTACGGTCCTGACCACCGAAGCCGTGTCTCTTCATAACACCAGCAAAGCCCTTACCCTTGGTGTTAGAGCGAGCATCAACAAACTGGCCTTCCTGGAACCAGCCAGCCTCAATGCTCGAACCAATGGGGAGGAGACCGGCCTGATCCTTGACACGGAACTCGAAAATGTGACGCTTGGGCGAGAGGCCATTCACGGAGAAGTGACCGAGGAGAGACTTGGTAACATTGTTGGGGTGCTTCCAGCCAGCACCAACCTGGACAGCGTAGTATCCGTGTCTCTGACGGGTCTTGTGGGAGAGTACTTCGACACGGTCGAGCTGCAGGACGGTGCAGGGGATGCGCTTGCTAGTCTCGGGGTCGAAGATGGCGGTCATGCCCTTCTTGATTGCGATGGCACCGGTGCGGAGAGGGAGGGAGAAGGCCTTGCGGCGGAGAGCCGCTGTCGACGTCGACTCGAGAACGGGCAGGCCGGGGCCAATGTTGAAGCGGCTGGGCTTGGGGGGATTGAGTGATCTGATACCGAATGTCCGCACGGGAACATGGGGCGTAATCAATGCATCCCAGACTGGTGAGCAGAGCTGAAGCCCTCCTAGACGCGGCGACATCTTGGCTGATATTGAGAGTTAGTCGACTTGGCTGAGATGCGGGAAGTTTTTGGTTGTCGTGGTTAGTCAGCAATCCTGGAACTATACCCAAAGTTCACCACAACATTCACAGCTTTACATATATAGATAGGTTACTTTGAAAGAGCATAAATAACCCCTTTATTTTCCTGTAACCGTCTACAGATCAGATTGTACACCCACCAATCCCCTTATTCCCTAACCCCGACATACGCAGTCCGATCGGACCGGTACCCGAAAACGCCGAGAACTAAAAAAGATCCCGTCAGAAATCCTCCTTCTGACTGACACGCCCTCCGTAGACACACACTCACCCCAGTCGCCTTCACCGGAACCGGGAACATACAAAACATGTCCATACGGCCAACCCTCCTTTCAAAATGGATCTCGCGCCCTAGCGAGATTCTCCAAAGAACCACCACCAAAAACAACATATACATCGCCTCGACACGCACGTCTGCGCCACGCCACACCTCTATCCTATTCCAAGCAACACGGCGAACCCTCACCACTACTCCTGGCCAGACAAGCCGACTGACAGCGCGCCCTCGGCCTCGAGCAGGCCCCAACACCTTCCAGCAGCCTAAGCAGCGGCTCAACCGGCGGTTCAATTCCGGGTCAGCTGGAAATGGAGGATCACAGGCCCAGCCGGAAAAGGAATCGCTTTCGCAGCGCTTGAAGAAGCTCTCGAGGGAGTATGGATGGTCTGCGCTGGGTGTGTACCTTGCCTTGTCTGCGCTGGACTTCCCGTTCTGTTTTGCGGCGGTGCGCTTGTTGGGCGTTGAGCGCATTGGATATTGGGAGCATATTGCTGTTGAGTTCCTGAAGGATAGATTCAAGGGTGTTTGGCCTCGGATTCAGGCTGGTGAGGGCGAGGGTGATGGCCAGGGTCAGCTTGCTCAGGCAGAGGAGCGAAACCAGGAGGAAGCTAGTAAGTTTGGCTCTGTTTTTTTTGTTATTGTTTTGAGTCGAGATCGATGACTGACTGGCATTTTCTCACTGTAGGTATTTGGACTCAGCTTGCTCTTGCATACGCTATCCACAAGAGCTTTATCTTCATTCGGGTTCCTTTGACGGCTGCCGTGACACCAAAGGTCGTCAAGACGCTCCGGGGTTGGGGATGGAACATTGGAAAGCGCAAGCCGAAGAGTAAATGATGGTGATGTGATTATATAGCATAGCGGATACAGGATTTAGACTGGACCATTGTACATTATTAGCTATCTAGCTCTCTAATACGGCATTTTTGCCTTCTCCTCTCAACTTCTTCCCAAATCTACAAAGAAACCAGCCAACCCAAACCAAGACCAGATCTATCTCCAGCGCCAAGATGAGACAGGGAACGAGAAAAAGAAACTTAATAGCAACAAGATTGTTGGCATACGCTGAGAGAGATCTGCCTGATATACCCAACCAGAAGCAAATAGTGAGAGAAAGTATGGCGTGGCAAAGCTACCCAAGCTACCAAAGCTACCAAAGCTCGTAATTCGTTGCGGAAATTAGATTGTGACGTATGTAAAGGTGCTCGCCGAAGGGAAGAGAGGGTGGGGTTCACATATCAATCATATCGTTGAATCTGAGGATGCCGTTGGCTCTCATCACACCATTGACGCCGCCGGGCATGCGGTATGCCCACTCCGCAACGCCCATAGAATCGGCGTTGGGTAGCACTTCACGTTGGTCTTGACCGGCCTCGTCCGAGGTATCGGCCACGAGAACAAGGCCGAGCTCCTTGATAGTTTCAACAAGGGCAGGAACAACGTTCTACAGTATGGTCAGCAGAGGGGTCGAGAAGTGAATCGGACCCGAAGGTTCTCAGAGACAAAGCAAAGACTTACCAAAAGACTGGATCTGCAGATCAGACCCATGAAGTTGTTACTCTGGGCAATGCGTGCAGACTCCTTGATCGACATCGAAGCACGACCACTGCTATCAACATGGGGCTGCGAGTCAACGTTGCGAGCAAGGTCCCGAATCTGACCCAGGTCATTGCAGAGAAGAACAGGATCTAATGGGGATTAGCAGAGGTTCAATTATGGATGCAGGACACCCAAAACCATCCCCCAAAGGAATAAGTCTTACAGTTCGGCTGCTTCCAGTTGAGCGCAGTACAGATATTCGGGTTATAGGAAGTAAACACGACGGAACGCATAAAGTCCGGGTTCTTTTCTCTAGCCACACGAGCGTGGTCAAAGACATCAGTCAGAATGGCATCGGCGAAGCTGTTGATATCAGCCAATGAAGTCATGTCGAGCATCTTTTCTTCCGCGGGTGATGGGTAGAGAAGAGAGATGTTGACATTCAAGTCAATGGGGAGCTTGCGCAAGACATCATGCAGCGACAAGAAAGACGCGGCGAGGAGTCGATGAGTTTGCGGCATGTCGTTAACCCCCTCTGTTTCCAAGAATTGGAGGATCTGGGGCTGATTGACACCGCGTTCGGCCCCAATGGCCTGGAACTGCGCATAGGACAAGTGGGAAACTGGGATCTCAACGCCATGGTGGTTGATCATGAACTGAGGATAGAGAACTGCCACACGGTCTCGAGTCAATTGCACAAATAGCTGCATGTAATCTCCCGACAAACTGGAACCAGTGACCAGTCCATTGTGGTCCGAGTCAATCGCCCCGGTAGCCTTCCAGTATGTGGCAAAGTGGGTAATCTCCAAGGGGTCACCGTGATACGGCTTGATGACCTGGAAGTTGAAGCGCAGCTGACCAATTGCACGGAGTCGGGGGTCGAACAGCGGCAAGCAACCGGTGCCAGTGCTTGACGATTCGGCTCGGAAGATATCTGGCAGAGCCACGCTCTTGGCAATCACCTTGGAACCGAAAGTAGGGAAGATCTCAAAGTCAACGGCAAATGTGTCCAGGTTGTCCACGTGGAACGATATCGTGCGCGAGTCGTCCTGGATAGGTAGCATGATTGTGCGAGGAATAAGATCAGACAACTTGGAAGAGATAGTCATCCGAGCGGCAGGATAGCGTCCCGCCTGATCAAAGACGACGGACCCGACGTTCGCTTGATCAAATGTAAGCTGGACGAACACCTTTTTGTCAAGGAAGTTGTGGCCATAGCGACG